GTGAACAATGAAATCAATTATAACAAAGAGAGAAAGGAGAAAGGATAAAGAAGAAAAGAAGAAGAAGGATTAGGAAAAATTGCTATACTATTCACTTTCTCATTTAGGGTTTACAAATGATTACAAATGAACATCACAATTGGTCTCACTCAATAACCTAAGTGATATATCCTATTTATAGACTAAGTATATAACTTGCAACCTAAGCTAACTAAGCAATTGGATCCTTAACACAAAGCTCAATTCGACATACATTTCGACAATACATATTAGAACTGACTTCACTACAATATGTATCCTTCGGCTACATCATGCGACCCATCTTCGACTTCATGCTTGTCTCCTGTCGAAACATATGAAAGTTATTACTCGACAGAGCTAGAGTTCGACCAAAAATCTCACACTATCATACACATTAAACTTGAGAACTTGAGAGTAGCATAAAGAATGAAAATAAGTTGAAAGAATTTTGATTTAAATGTATTTTTGATTCCCTATATCTATTTTGATAACTTTTTAGTTTTTAATTTTAAAAAACAACTCTATAGTCCTTAATATAGAACCATGTTTTTTTTTTGTCTTTCATGACAAAAGAGTTTCTTTTGCCCAATTGACATGATGCAACATTTTTTAACTTTTGTCACATTATTAAAATGCATGACAATATTTAAATAATTATTTAAATTATTTTTTAAATCAATTTTATTAATTACGCCATTAAAATAATAAAACTTTACTATTCTAAAATATAATTTTTTTTCTTTGAGCTCCTTTTTCCCCTTCTGAAACCCTAAAACTAATTGTCTTGCTTCCTCTCAAATTGGGTGTGGTTTTAGTCAAATTGAGCCAAATAGTTGCTATTCATCATGTCCTAATTCTCTAAATCGAGTTATCAAGAGCATTCGTGTTCATATTTGGACACACACAAATGTGGTTTAGAATCTCCATTGATGACATCTCAGACATATTTAAATCCAGATCTTCGTTTCTATAGTTGTGGGGTGTTTAAGGTAATGCTTTGGTTGTTGTTGTCCATATTTTTATGTCAAATGTCTACTTCTTCAAAACCCTCAATTTATTTCATAAATCCAGTTGCATGGTTATGAGAGGTGTAACCATTTTTTTAGTATGATGAATAAATGTCTCCAAGAGTCAAGGATGTAATCTCTTATCTGCAGCAGAATTTAACTGAAGAAAAAGTAAAATGTAATGAAGTCAAGGAAAAATAGGAAGATTAAAGATCAAAAATGAAGTTTATGAAGAAGATGTTGAAATGAATTGATTTAAATAATTTATTCAAATAACTTAACGTATTTTAATGACGTGGCAAAAGTTTTAAAAATGCCACATTATGATTCACATGCCAACTGGGCAAAAGAGATTGTTTTGTCATTGGAGGTCACAAAAAAACATGAAATTTGATATTAGAGGACCATAAAACTGATTTTTCTTTTAAATAGGGACTAAAAACTTATCAAAATAGATATAGAGGGACCAAAACTATATTAAAATCAAACCAAATTAGATGGTACCGAAAGTTTAGGTGGTACCGTTGATATCAAGTTTCACAATATCAAATTATTAGTACCAAATTTCAAGGCAGACAAAAAATGATTATTTAGCTTAAAAAAAAAACAATTGAAATGGATGAGTGCCACTCAAGTCCTTTGGCTAATGGTAATGCAACAATAAGTACACACAGCTTCACAGATGAAGACTGATACATGTGAACTTCACATCACTTTTAAGTAAGATGGTGAACTTTACAACAACACTTATATGCATTCCCACAAAACTAACAAAACTAATCCATTGATTTTATTCATGACAACTATTAAATAATAGATACAATGGGAGTAAGGCCAGATGCAAACATTAAGATGAAGGAAATTTCTTATGGCATTTTATGGGATGAAAAAACACCTTATGAAAATCGAAATTGCCTCTAAGATTTAAGAGATACATCTCTGAACACACCATACGCTAATGTTATGGTGCACTAAATGAGTGTCACTCTAGATGAATATTAACAAATATTTTTGGAGATGCATCTCCAGGTATTTTTAACAAATATACTAATAGTTGATTATCTCATTGGATATTTCAGAGATGCATCTTCGGATGTTTGGGACGAGATTTTGAAATTTATGTGACCTTTGCATGTCAGATATTTTCGGAGATGTATCTTTGAGATAATTTAGTAAAACACTGAACTATATGATCACACAATCATACTTGTTTTCCACTCCAAACCCTCACCAACAACCCTTCCATTCTCAAGCCACATTTTCACTCCAAATCTTCAATCTTGTGTTTCATCACATCAAAAGGAGTAAAAGAAGTTGGCATTTCAGGTGAAGATCATTTGTTTCAACCTTCATTGCTCACATTAAATTGTTTTCAGTCTAAAAGACGTGTGTCTATTCCAGAGATACATTTCTGGAACGAGTATGAACTTATATGAAAATGCATCTCTAGTATTTATTTGATATCATTTTTTCAACTCTATTTATAGCATTACATTTATTAAGTGTTTTATTGTAATTGTTTTCATTATCTATGGTGCACCCTAATTTTCCCCCAAACATGTTGTGTCTCCGGATGTCAAAGGTGTTATTGTGAAGACGGTAGATGTTGACAACCAATTTAAAAATGAGCAAGAGTTTGAATTTCACGATCACATGCTTCAGTGGATTCATACCGAGGCCTCAAAACTAAAATTTAGTGTGGTAATCAGAAGATTCGGTAATGGTTCGAATAGAAGATGTGCTTTTATGACAATGACGTGCAAAAGAAGTGAGAAATATACACCTCTTCTCCGAATTTAAACGAGATGCCACCGGACTATTTTGTGGAAAGGATGCAATAGTTCGAGAAATTGAGCAACATTGAAAGAGAATCAAATGCACAAAAGTCAAAACCACCCATAAATTTAGCCGGCGGCAAATATTTCGATTTGTTTTGACTTTCTGTTTAGTCGGACAAATAAATATGTAATTGTCTCAATATTAATGAAGTGGAATATATATAATTTCTTAATATTTTAATATATTTTTTATTTTTGCCAAAACATTTGTTCATTTTCCAAACAAAGTCTTCAATCAGGTTATGATTTCTGTCTGGTTCAGGATAGGTTTTGGAGATGTATATTCAGAACAAAATAATAGGGTGTGGTACCAGAGATACATCTCCAAAATCAACATTGATACACATGATAGAATTTTTTAGATCCACATTTGTCTACAACTTTTATAAATTAAGGGGCTCTTGTTTTTTTATTTTACACAAACATAAAATGTCTCAAATGTCACAAATAAACACCATATGGTATGTAGCAAATGTCTCAATCTCCAACGCGACACCTGAGCAAAAGTTTAAATTCAATGAGTACACCTTTTTTGCAGAACTGAAATACGAAGTCCATAATCTCCTTCCTTACGGAGACAATCAAAAAATTGTCAAGCTCGAGTACCGTTCACCATCGATTGACAACGAATGGAAGATTGAGTTCAACAACTTTGAGCTCAAAACAGATGCAAATGTAAGGACCATGTGAAATACATTTTTCCATTTCGAAACAAAAGTTCTGCTCGAGTTGGAAGCGACGATTTCAAGACTGATCGAAGACATTGTGAAGATGTTAAAGCATTCACCTAGATACTAAAATGTAATGTTTCATTTTATGTTGAAATCATCTATGTAATGCTAATTTTATGTTATGAATGATAATTATATTATGTTAAAATACAAGTTTTTGGTTTCCGCCTCTGATACTAGTGCGCATGTTATCAAAATGCATCTACAGACAGATTTCGAAGATGTATCTCCGAGTTTAAAAAGACCCAACTATTGGGTTGTCACTTAGAATAGTCTAGGTTGTGTGTGTATTAGATGCACTCGGAGATGTATCTCTAAAATCTGAAAGCATTTTAGTATTTTCACTTAGGGTCTGTTTGGTTGTGGGATAAATAGAGAAGAAGGGAAGGAAGGGAATATTTAATAGTTTTTGTATTTAGTTCAAATTTTAAGATGAGATAGGTGAAGGGGATTAAAATCCCTCCTGATCTTACTTTTTGCTTTTCCCCGATTTGAGAAAATTTGAAGGGGGAGGGGGTGTTTCATTTTAATCATAATTACATTTTCATATTTACTCTTATTTATTTTTTTTAAATATAAATTTAACTTATTAAAATGTTAAAAGTTATATTTTGAACAAATTTTATCTTCCTTTTATATTTCTTGCATTTTATATCGTTATCTTATTATCATTATATGTGTTTAAATTATTTTATTTTATTTTTATATTTTAATGTTACTTTTTATTTATTGTAATGTTTTTGTTTATAATAATTTTTGTTAGATTTTATTGTATTTGATAATTTTTAAAACTATATATTATAATCGTTATTCGTTAGGTTTTTATAAGATCTTTCTTGATGCTCTCTAATTGAATACCTTTATTTCGTTGAATTATAAACGGTAAATATCATGAATCTTATTATAAAATTAAAAGGATAAAAAAAAGTAAATTAATTTTAAAATACATCTACTTCTCTTGTGAATTAAATATATTTGTAAATAAAATTTCTTCCCTGTCTTTCCCTTTTATATTTTGAACCAAATATATATACTTAAAATCCCTCCTCTCCTTTCCCTTCCCTTTTCCTGCTATCGATTGAACCGAACGGATCCTAAGGTGCATTAAAAAATTTCATAAGATGAAAACAGAAAGTCCAATAGTGAAACGGCAAGAATGAATCAGGGCCCATAGAATTTTGTAGAGACCATTAGCAAAGTAACACAAAGTGAAGCTGAAAGACTGTCAAATAAAAACCCAGCATATCAGGCATGCTTATGCAAAGACATTCAAGACATCCCCTCTATTAAATTTAAAATTTTGAGAGCAAATGTTATGTTACACTTAATTGGTACAAAATAATTTACATGATCCCTTAACTTCCTATATAGAATGAGACTTGGGAGCAAAAGTCCGAAATTAATTACATCTGCATTGTTAACTCTGACCTCTTGTGAACTTTGGTCAAGTCAACTAAATGGCGCATGGTCGGCCTGCCATGGGGACAATTCCATGGGGATTTCAGCTCCGCCAAATGCTCAACTATCTGAAACAATTAGAGAAAGCTAAAAACTCAGTATGTAGGCGCGAAATTTAAAAATTCAATTCCTTACACTTACTGTTACACTGAACCAGATAGTTAGGGAAGGAGGTATGTATTTTTTATTACGGCAAGGGGCGATGCTAAAAGTAATGTGTTTTACTACCTTCTGCATTTCATTTCTTCCAAGTGCATCACCAATCATAATTGATGATCGACATGCTCGAGATGCCAACATTGCACGAACTCTTGGAGGGCAAATTGAATCTGTGGAATCTTGCTTATAACTACCAATTATGGAACATTCCCCATGACCATCACCGTCAGATAGGGTTGAGATCAGATCCTTAACATCTGTTGGGATGAAAACGGTTATCATTAATCACTGAATACAGTTTTTATTTCTTAATAATAACCTTCAATTCAATACATTAATTTACGCACATGTGATTCACAGTGATTAAACAAATCTCTGAAAACAATGTTTAAGCAAAAGAAGTGTCCTTGCTATTCACATTATTCAAGTATGTGCATGTTAATGTTTAGATCCAAGCTTAGGACCAAGGGCGTACTTGAAAAAATAAAATAAAACTTTGGTATCATGCAATGGACAAAATCCCAATTCAAAGGACACTAGTACGAGCATCACAATGATTTCTAGGGCGAAGCAAGCTAGAAATCACAAACCATTAAGGAGGAGACAGCTTTAAGTTTAACCACAATGTGATTGTCACATAACTTCCTGAAGGAAGTCCATAATTGTTAAGATCCTTAAATGTCCTCTGTTAGACCTCATTAATAAATAAAATAGGAGGCCTAGGCCAATGAGCTGCTGAATTTATGTTGTCAGTTTGTAATTTTAATTTTGTTACTTTATCTGTCGCTCATTCGAATAACTAGGGAAAGGAAAAGAAATGAAGGCTTAGCAGTTATTTTTGGGACTGGTTTTGGGAGGGAAAGACAAAACTCCAATTCTTGGAAGGGAACCACTTGGTAACCAAAAAACCTTCATTTTCTTATCTCTAATTTTGTTTTCAATTCTGGTGTTTCTTGTAACAATAATGGTCCTCTGTTCCTGAAACAGAATTTCCAGTATTTCAGTGCAATAAATTAGTTTCTGTCTTATAAATTTATCAATAAAGATACCAGTTTCTATCATCTTCTAGATTCTATCCCATGTGAATGGCATCCAAAATTAACTAAAGTCAGGTAAGTCAGCTAGCTAGACTTTCAGCTTGGCCTGGACCATCATCCAAAATTAATGCAAAATTTGAAACCTAAAAAGAGTATCATACATGGAGAACTGCATATCTAGTGCACACAATACGCTTTCCCTTGACTGGTCATGATTATATAAACTGATAGAATCCTTAAATTAATCAAAAAGATAAAATCCACAAAATTCAAAAGTTCTACCTTCAACTCCAAACACAGTGTTTTTACTGTAGGGAACAGACTTTAATTTATAACGGCATCCAGGTGGTGCATTTAGATCCTCTTCCAGAGTAAATCCATTCTTCCTGAAAACAGATATAATGCAAATATATGTTATTAACTACATAGACCCTTAAAGATGCAAAAAGTAAACAAGTAAATCATAAAATATTGCATCTAGAAAATTGAACTCAGTTTCAAGTATAACCTCCACAGAAAAAACGTATCTTACTGTAAGAGATACTGAATCAAATATAATAGTGTTTCCAACAACCTTTTGCAAATTACGCAAATGTTTTAATTTCTAACGAGCATGTGGCAATTATGGCAATTAAAGTTGACACACCACACAAACATTGTTAAAGACATTAGCTTACAGCAAACAACTACTAATTGAACAATTTGGGGGTTCTCAAGTTCAAAGTCCACAGCTGTGATTTTTGTTTCAACATGCCAGTCAGCAAGCTTTGCCAACTTGAGAAGTTTTAGAAAGACATTCTCTTTTCTCAGCAGTTAGCACATCACAAGTGCATCTTAAGATCAATGGACATCATACTTTCCAAATATGTCATATGAAGTCAAATTCAACAAGTTATTTGATGGTTTAAATATATAAAATCTTGAATCTGCATCTTCACGTGATTAAGGATCTGAGCTATGATATCAAATATATAATAAATCCAATTTTTTTACACATCTAATTTTTTTATTTAAAATCAATATATCTTTGAATTATTATTAAAATCATCTATTCATTATCAAATAAGGCAGCACAGGTCAGCCATTGAATTAATTTTAGCATTGACACAAAGCAGTGTTCTGAGCACAGCTGTCAGGTTGGCCCTGTCGAGTTGTATATAGTAGAGAAATTCATAGGAAATGTTTTGTTTAGGGTGACATTAATTATTACTCCAAAAGATCCTTAAATACACAAAGAAAGATAATCAACATGATCCTTTTTCAAAGCTGATCATCTGAAACAACTCATTATGACAATCATTCTAATTAAACAAGAAAGTGTGAATAAGAGAACATGACGCAGCATCATTTCTGTTACTGGCTATAGCATACAATAAATACAAACAGTCTGACTGATGATGCAGGATTGGTATTAGAATCTTGTTAATGAAATCGAGTTTCTGACAATAATCCATAAAAGGAAATCAACATATCACCACTAAATAAATATGGCTCTAGCTATACCTGATTATGTCCATGTGAATCGAAGCAACTATTTCTTCCTCAGGGGATAACTCCAAATTTATTGGCCTACACGTGGAATTTTTATTAGAAAAATTTAGATCATGAACAAATAGAGAAGAAAAAAATTACTTTTCGTGCCATCTAAATATGGCATCTGTTTGCATCAAGTGGTTGTGCTTTTACAATAAAAACTTATACTCTAAGCATCCTTTGTAACTTGAACCCAACAAGTCCTGTATCTTCGCCACATATTTGCAGCATAATAAGTAATTTCCTTTTACAGCTTTACCATGTTTTTATTGACAGCCCCCTCAATTCAGAGTGGGAAAAACGAATACTTATGCATAACGATTGTAACAGAATAAAATTGTAAATTCCTCACCTAAGTAGAGGCTGTTGGTTCAATATGGTTGATTGGGACAGACACTCGAAATTGTATTTCTCGTCAGCAGCATGCTGAAAATAGATTACTCTCCATCACAATTTGTGTTTTCATAAAAAGAGATATGAAATTAAGCAAAATAATATGTTTATATGGATTAATCATTCAAGGGGTTAGTGGAAGAAACTGCAGAATCTGTAATTCCAAAAACATAGTGGAAGTTACCTGATCCACAATGAATAAATCTTGATCCAATTTACCAATGATAAATCCAAGATTGAATTGTCCAATCACCTGTTAAAATTTAATATTAAAGCAATAGCCAAGAATACATGATACATTTAATCTGAAAATGTAAGAATAATTAAGCAGTTAAATATTCAAATATGATTCCAGTATATAGATTAAATATGCAGATCATGTATTCTAAAAAATTGATTAGGCTTTTATGGTGGACAAAAAAAAAACATAAAACAGCCTAACAATTTAATTGCACTTTCCGTACTAACTAGTAACTAAAAATAGCATTCAGTATTGACATTTGGACAACTAATCAGCACAGCAACATCCAATTTTATTATAAATAAACAAAACGAATCATACTAACAACCTTCATTCTGCTGAAGTCTTCCTTCTTGAAAAATCTTTCCAGTTCAGTAGCTGCTGCTGCCAAATAGCTTTCTTTCTGCTGTTCACTTTCTGGCTGTGAAAGTTCCAGAGTTGCAGCCGTATAGTGACTAAATATAATTATGATAAAGAGTAAGCATATATGTAAGATTTTCCAATTATAGAAAGAGACTGCTGAAATAAAAACCTTTTGCCAATATATTTTCCGTATCTGTAATTTCTGGGTTGCATCAAAGAAAGACTCTTCTCTCTCCTACTCTTTAGGTCCTGAAAAGAAAATTGCATGTTGGAGAATATTTTCTGACCATAAGACTTGGGAGAATCTAATCGTAGAGGCGATGAACGAATTGGAGAGTCTGAGACCAAAACATGCTCTGTAGTACTGATCAGATTGTTGCTAGATGGTGTGATTGTTGCTGTATCAGCTAGCTGTGTTGTATTCTCTTGATACAGTTTCTGCAAAACATAATATGCAAATATGAAACTAAGAAAGTGGCAATTTTTATTTTTACTTTTTAGTCATTCATTTTTGGATAAAGAATAAGAAAGAAGCAGTATAAAGGAAAGGAGGACGGGTCTTCTCCTTTTGATAAAGCATTATAAAAATGCTGAATGAATACAAGGTAAAGACACTAATATCATTTTCTGCATTCGCTACTCAGGAACTTCAATTTAAATTATCTCAAACAAAAACTTCAAAAAAAAAATACCAATTTTAATAATAGAATGTCAAATAATTTTATAAATCAATACATAGTACAATTTAAAACCATGCTTTATAGAACTATAAGTGTAGATATATGAAATTTTAGCAACTCAAACCAAGTTTTGGAATGCATGATTTCAAACATACCATGCCAGGTTCTCTGTCAGTTGAACCATCTCTAAAAGATGGAGAATTCACACTTTTGTGGCTGATGCTATCAGGAGTAAGTTGCTGCAAATTTTCAGTCTCACTCGGCTTAGAAGTTTCATTGATTTGGTCCAAATGATGATATGATCTTGTTATCAAGTCATTAGTTTCAGTATTTGCAGTCTTCAATTGATGATGTGGAGCTTGATTTCTAAGGACAGGCACTTCAGATAAGGCTGTAATGATGTCATCATGTTTTCTTTTACTCACAGCAACGAAATTGTTAAGAGTTGACTGAACATGTCTTGGTGAATCAGATGAATATTGATCAATTGTCCTTGAAACCCGGGTAGCTTGATTGCGCCAAGCACTGTGAGCAGATGCTGGCTGTCTTCCCCTTGTATCATCACCCTTTAAAGATTTGTGCGCTTTGAGTATGAACTCCTGGCCCGTTGAACCCCTGATATTCTCAGAAATCAACCTTTCTTCTGAGAATAGATCTTCTTCATCAGATTCAGAGGCATCTTTGGAATCAGTTTTGCACTCAGTATAATGCTCTTCGCAAGGAAGAATGCCATTTAGGGATGATGGTTTTGTTACGATAGGAGACTTCTTCTGAGAGGAACACGACTCAAAACAGTTTTCTCTTACTCCAGGCTGCATAAATTCATTGACAGCATAAGAGGCATTATCGGGAGAATATATTTGTTGTAAGCCCTCTCTCAGGGCTTGCAACAAAGAAGTTTCTTCAGAAAAAAATATTTTCCTCTTATCAGGAGTCACATTGACATCATACACTTTCGTTGGAACTGAAAAATTCAAGATTGCAATGGGATACTGTTTAGAGTTTGCACTTCTATACAACTCATTCACAAGTTTTCCGACTTTTGGCATATCCACGGGTCTACCGTTTACAAAAAAATACTGTCTATCTCCCAAATTCCTTCCATTACCCAGTCCAGGCTTGGAAAGGAAACCATCAACTTTGCAACTCTCAGATATACATAATGCCATGGGTTCCAAGCAGTTGAAAGTGTTCATGCCAAGCACGGTTATGATGTTATCTTTTAGAGAATCATTTCCTTGTGTTTTAAGTACTGCAGACTTTGCATTTTTGCCAGTAATGTTGGTACAACCGAACCGAACACCTTTTGCAATAAGCGCATATGCCTGAAGAACACTCAACAGAAACAATATATCATATCAACAAACTCATTAAAACAGGAAACAATTGCAGCAATAAAGACAATAGAGAAATGCCAAAGGAATACAATCACTCACATTCAAGAGAGAAACCAACTTGCCATATTCCTTGCGAATATTCCGCTTAAACTCTTTGCTTCGCACCGGAAGATTGGAGAACAGCTTTTTAACTGTGACAGTCGTTCCAACTTGCCGCGCGGTTTTCTTTTCATCCGCCAGAGCACCAGAATGGTTAAATGTCAAGAGCGTAGCAACCTGTTCGCTCGCAGTTCTCGTTTCAACGGTCAAATTTCCAAGAGCACAAAGAGAACTCAATGCCTCTCCTCTAAAGCCAAAAGTAGTAAGAGACTGAAGATCATGAAATTCCGATAATTTTGAAGTATGATGCTTGAGTGCAAGAACCTGCAATAACGATAACAGACTCGAAATTCAAAACCCTAACACTACATTTTTTAAGGTTTTTACGTTTCAGCGAATGATACCTTGAAATTGTTTGGGGAAATGCCGCGACCGTTATCGATGACCTGAAACCATTCTTCGCCGAAGTCTTTAAGAGAGATTTCGATGCTGGTGGCGCCGGCGTCTAAGCTATTTTCGACGAGTTCTTTAACGGCGGAGGAGAGGTCAAGGATGACTTGACCGGAACATATTCTGTGAACGATTCCCTTAGCGATAGGTTTGATAATTTTCGATTCGACCGACATTGCTGCTTCTCTCACTCGATTAACTGAGCCGGCGAATGTTCATACGAATATGAAGAAAACCTGCAAAATTTTGCCGCCAAAACAGTAGCGGGAACGAAACCAGAATGTGAAGAAAGATGGATGAGATTAAACAATGTTTAGCTCTAGTTTAATAATTTAATTAAGTTTTTTTAACCAATCCACTCAATGGTATAACTAATAAAGAAAAGCATAGAAATAAACTATAACTAAATTGTATTTTTCCTCATATGTTTGGATTAATTAAAATAAAGTTGGAATACTCATTTCATGTGATTCTGTTGTTTTTTATCATAGAATTTGGACAGAATGAAAAAATATTTAAATAATAAATTGATATTTTTATTTTCTTTAACTTCGTTTTGTTCTCTATTCTATTCTGTATGTTTTATAATATCATTTAAATAAAGTAAATAAATTTGAGTGGGATGTAATGCAACCGAACATAAACTTTGTTCATTATTTGAATATTTTATGATATAGTAAAAATAATATTCATTTCACTATTTAAAAATTGAACGGAGTAAAAAATATTATAATTTTTTAATTTCATTTTTTATCCTTTACTTACAAAATATTAATATAATTAATAAAAGTGAAAATTTAAAGGACAAAATTATAATTATGTTACTAATTTATTCAATTCAATTCAATTGAATACACTCTAATTTAGTGGAATGAAAAATGTGCTAATATAGTAGTTCCATCACATTCAAAACATTTATTTTTATAAAGTCAGACAATGGAAAATAATATCATTCCCCTTGATTTCATTTTATTTCATCTCTTTCTATCAATCCAAAAGACTTTTAAAAAACAAAAAGGTAAAGAATAAATAGTCCAATTAAATTTCTTCTCAATTAGTAGGGATGACAAAACAGACTCAGTCTATTAAGTCCGTTTTGCCCACACTTTAGTGCGGGGCGACCAAAGTTTTAAACTTTCACCCTCTAATGTGTTAGTCCTGCTTCACCCCGTTTTTTATGCAGACTTTTATGGGCATGGATATTTACACAAATTTTTGTATTGTTAAGCTTAACAAGTATCATGCTCGCAAGCATGCCCCTCCCTCCCTCATTTTTTTTGCTAAACGGACCAAAGTTTTAGACCTGCACCCTCAACTATGTCTTTTTCACCTCAGTGCATTTTTTTTGAGAATTTTTGCAAGACAGACCTAAACGGGCCGGACATGTCATTTACCATCCCTACAATTAAGTGCCCAACATCCATGTGTACCAACTTACACTCAGTTTTAAAAGATTCGATTTCCCACTTTAGCACATTTTAATTTCAATATGAGCGGTGCTCGCAAGTTTAAGTTGTGTTGTCTCTAATGTAATTGTTCTTTTGTCCCTACCGATTGGTTATAGTTGGTCATTGACAAAGGAAGTCGCAAGCTTACTACATTTTTTCTCTTTGGCAACAACTGAAAAATGTTGCCATAATTGAGAAAAAAAAGTTGCTTAAAAGATCAAGGGATGTTTTTCAGCCATCCTCTGAGTGTTTCCTATCATTTTATGAAACTTTTTTTTTATCGTTTTTTAGACACACTTTTGTAAAACATCACTTAAACTATAAGAAAATGGGATGTTTTTATGTGGCATCTAATGGGACATTTTTAAGGTCTTGTTAAAAATTGCAATGACCGAAAAACTTTTCCTAATGGTGGTAGAGTGAGAACACTCAGTGGAGACGATTTCAAATGTTGTCATATCTGATGAAATAGTGAGAACACATAATAAATGTTTCTATAAATTACAAAGAATATTTATTTACCATATTTTTCATAAAACAAACAATTCAAACAAGATTTGCACCAAACTTAAATTGCATGTACCGCAAAAGTTAGGTTGATAAAATCTAGTAAAATGACAAAAATACATGATTTCTTTAAGTTTAATGCTTATGCATTAACTCAAACACATAGTTTCAAACATTAACTCAAAATACATTATGGAAGACTAAATTTAACACGCTAAAAAACACCCAATGTTTTCTGTTGAGCATAAACTTACGAAAGTTCATTAAGAAAAATATTCACTAAGCTCGCTGCGGACACACCTTGCGCCTCATTAAGTATGGAGGATATGGGAATAAGAAGCATCAAAGTAAGGTTTCCATGCTGATACGCACAAAGATACATTCTCTCTCCATACTGTTGAAGTAAAACGGTTGAAGTAGCAAACATTTGAAATCTGAACTAGTTGGTGTTTCTGTACATGATTATACCAAAGGGCTACATCGTAAAACATAATAGAAAATTTCTAACTGAGTATTTATGGACAACACATGTTAACATAAATGGTTGGACTGGTACTTTATTATGCATCCAATATTTTTCATATAATCTATATTTTCTTCTCATCTTTGTTGTCACCCTTACTATGAGATGGAAGGACTAGTGCATTAAGAGACTGCTTGTTCATAAACAACAACTTGTTCTAGCTTGGTAGTATAGTATTATACATTTTTTATTCCATGGCAATAGTGAAACATGGTATGTATGTATTTATTTGAGTTGGTGGCAGTAGAATTTGATATACATTGAAGCTACGTTGATATATTCACACATGTTTGATCTACTATCGTGTACAACTTAACACGGAACTTTAGACAACTTCCTGAACTAAAGCTACGTGATATATGTCGGATTACCTCACAATGGTTAAATCGGCACAAAAGCCTATCAATATAAGTCTATGATGTTTATGAATAACTTGGCGAAATTACAAAGAATAGTTAAACTATTACGCAAAAAGGCAAGACATCACATGGATTTTTAATAGGAAGCTATCAGATGCTATGATCAAAAGTCTAAGTAGATAAAAACTTCTGCCAAATTGATTAAGTAAATAAGAATCACTGATCGGGTAATGTTAATTTAAACCTTTGATCAAATTAAAATTTCAAGTAAATAAAAACCTCTGGCAAATCAGTCAAGTAAATAAGAATCTATGACCGGATTATGTTAAATTAAACCTCTAACCGAATCAAAAGTTCAAGTAAATAAATATTTCTGACAAATCAGTCAAGTAAATAAGAACCTCTGGTCGGGTTATGTTAATAAAACCTCTAACCTAAATAATCGGCCACGTAAATAAAAACCTATGGCAGGTTATGTTAATAAAACCTCTTACCTAAGTAATTGGCCACGTAAATAAAAAAACCTTTGATCAGGTTATGTTAAATAAAACCTCTAACGGAACCAATAGACTAAGTTAAAATACCTCTAGCATTTCGGCTAAGTTAACATACCTCTGGCTCAGTCAAGTTAGTATACCTCTGACCTTAAGTGATTTGGTTAAATTATTCTCGGCCAAACACCAATATCCACCATGATCCATCCAGAGTTAGCCGGTCTATGTTTAAAATGACGAGATCCATGAGGTTTTATTTAACAGGAGCTTTGAATCTATACAGTACAAATCTTAGCTAAAAATAAGCTAATATTTGTTTGAGACCAGCCTTTCTATTTGATCTCTAGTCAAACATATCAGTTGTTATCAAAGAGATAAAGTCCATTAGGGATTCATAGCAATTCTAAAAAGACTAACGTGGTTACAACTAAAAGAGTCTCATGAGGACTCGAATATTATTGTTAAAAGATCCAGAAAGCGTACAAACATTACAAATGCCTCCGTAAAGGATTACTAATGACAAAACAATTATGAACCATCCGATGAGAATGATATTTGGTTTAGTCACACTAAAGATTATTAGACATTGCATCCCCAACTCACACAGGTCATGAAAAGAATGAAGTAAGATATATTCGAAATTTGCCAACTTGTGATCGTCTGAATCCTTCAGGATTTGGTTACTACCAATATTCGAAAACCCATAAGTCTATCACAATTCTACAAATAAGACAAGGGCCTTGTATTGGTTAAAACAGGATGCCAACAGGTCGAGGTCCCACTAGGACTCTCCGACTTCTCCATGTCTAGAACCTATCGAGTTCTACAACGACAAATTGGTCAAGATTCCACGGGACTCTTCGACTTCTTCATATCTAGAACCTACTGAGTTCTACGGGAAAAAAAATCTCAAGATCCTACGGAGCTCTCCGATTTCTCTATGTTTAGAACCTACCGAGTTTTACAATATCAACAAGTCGATATTCCACCAGGGATCTCCGACTTCTTTATGTCATAAAACGGTTTAGAAAATTTGTCAAACTAGAGTCATGATAACAATTGGATTCCCCATAAAAGTCATCAAGACAAGGAGAAATAAGAGATCTAACAAGATATACATCATCATTACTCTTAAAAAACCGCTATCACACGTCAGCAGGACGCGAGACGACCGTTAGATTAAACCAAAGTGGATGGAAGTACTACTATTCAAGAGAAAAGAATTGTGTGATACTCTGTTCCAACACTTCATTCAGTTGGGTCTCGTGATTGGGGGGCTTATGTACACTCCGAAATTCCCAAAGCTGAGTTATAAGTCTCTAGGTCCGAGAGGTGAAAGTCGGGTATGCCGCGTACTTGAAATGATAATCGAGTTACTACTTATGAAACAAATAGAGCCCAAAGCATAGATTTCTCAAAGGCACTTTTCTGGACGATGAGTACAAATAGGTGTAACGACTATTAGGTATGTACATCTCAGATTCTGATATGCCTGGGATGTCTTACTCAGACAAGGTGCACTCGTCTCGGATTCTATAACGGATAGCCAAAGGTCATTTACCGATTATAAAATTATGATTTGTCTGTTACAACATTCTTCTATAAATCATGGAACGTTATGACATTCATTAATAATGGACGACGGTAACAGTGATTCTACTAATGACCATCAAACCGTACTTATGCCCAATAAAAGTAATTATGTGAGTCTCCTGGAATCCTGGAAGAGGGAGAATGGAAATATAAATAGGGGAGCTTAGATACCAAAAAAAAAGGGGCAGTTGATCAATGAATAACACAAAAAGAGTGGAAACACGTGGAAACCTTGGACCACCAACAATGGTGGCCATGACCCCTTCCTAACATACCTCTTAACAAATAGAACGATTGTGATCTCGCCTGACTAACTTCAGGGAGATTTATCCAAATAATGTTTAACATGAACACCAAGAAAAAAATTCTTTATTAATAGTATTAGTACACTTAGTCTTACATGAACATGCCTTGTTCACAATCTCTTCCTAATACTACCCCCATGACTTTTTATTTAAGACTTTTCTTAAATATGAAAAGCTCTCTCACTTTCTTACAATCACTAACCCTAGTGATTAGCTTTAATAAACAACTTAAAGAATGTTGAATTACAACTCAACTAAACAAATCAACAATATGTTTTATGATCTGAATGAGGGCGCTAGCATGGTGTAGAAGCAACACAAACAAAAGACTCAAATAAAACCATAATACAAAGAATCTTCAACCAAGCTCGTGGTCTTCAATGTTAGAATGAGCCTCTTTAAATAGCAATCCATAAATGAGTTTTTCTCCAATGGCCATTTGAATTTCAATCACCAAATATGGTGGAGATTTAGTGAAGATTTATTTTTCAAAACATCCCCACTAAAAGATTTGATTTGATTTGAATTCAAATTTAAATCTCCATAATTCAAATTTGATCTTATTAAATTATCAACCAAATCTAACTAATTAGATTGGTGAAAGATAGCAACAAATCATTCATACATAAATCCAAAAGCACGCTAAAAAAAACACTTCAAAGTTTGAACTGCAACAGGGGTCAGATGTGCCACACCTGTTGGAACATCATGTACCACAAGTGTCCTTTCTTCACCAAAACATCTTGTATACTCCATGTTATTTTGCATAATGCACTTAATCCAAAAGGAACAACATTATCCCCCTTTGATAAATTTTGGCAAAACAACTCTTTTACAAATTACAAGATGTGCATTACACATTGAGTATCATAAGTACACCACCACAAAACAATTAGAGCAAAACTCAACAACAACATAATTAAAAAAATCAGAATAACACAAATTAGTAGTAGAATTCAGTAGCAAACATCAAAAGATCAAGAGGTTGCTACACATTAGACAGTCAGTCGCACAATGATTCTCTCATGATCAGTTAAGTACACAAGCAAACATGCACGCACACAAACAAGGTCAGTAATGGTCAGCAGTCAGTTAGGTCAGCGCACACCACTACACAAAGTTACCTCACTCATAACACACAAATATATCAGCTCATACAAGCATCCAGAGTTTAGGGTCAGATGTTAGGCCAGGTGCTCCAGCATATGAGCACTCAATCATAACACCACAGTTAATTAGGCATTATTTATGCACATAATCCTAACACTTCCATACTCCCCTTTTTTGCCATAATTTAGCAAGGCTATTAGCACAGTCAGCACAACCACTTAATATATTAGTCAAGAGTAGACACATCAACCACGAACACATATGTTGAACTTATCAGTGTGATGTTATGTCATCCGATGCTGGAGTACCTACCAATGGTGTGCCGCCGCCTCCACCTCCACCTGATTCTGATGACCAGCAGCGCTTGCAGATGATCACTGTTACTATGGATAACCTCATGGATTTGATAGATCAAAATGATGATATTTTTATCGGATTAGTGCAAGCAACACACATAACTCGTGAGAGACCTATTTAGTTATTAGTTATTTGATTTTGCAGTTGACTCAAGACTACTTGACAAGACTAGTTCTACTTAGCAAGACTACTTAGCACCATACCTTATATTATATAATATTTTGTCAATTACATATTTCAAAGATGAACACAACTTAAGACAATACAACTAATATAAATAAACAATTAAAAAAAAAAAACCTAAACACTACCAGATAATTCTGAACGTTTCAAAATTTTAATTATGTCATCGATAGGTCTTGAAATCTTTACATCTAACATCAATAGGTCTTGAAATTTTTACATCTAACTCGATCGACTTAGTTAACCTACGGTGACATAATCTCCACATAATTGTTTAATCCTCATCTCCACATAATTGTTTAATCCTAGTTGCTCTTCAACTTACTAAGGTTACATTTCACCCTTCCATCCTCGCTCTTCAACTTACTAAGGTTACATTTCACCCTTCCATCCTCATCGGTCATCAACTTACTAAATACCCTTCCATTAATATCAATCCAATAGTCACATAGTATATATATCATGACAAAATGCAAATCAGGACCATCTTTGATGTACAATATCCTTAACCTCATCCAAGGTGAACCTGATTCCCACCCACACAATGAATTCTAACTTCCAATTCAACCAACCGAAAGAATCAAATGTCAAGCAATATCATGAAGTTCAAATTCACAACAAGACTTCTCAATTTTAGAAACATGGCAGGGACAGATAAGACAAATACAAACTTTGGGCGAGACTACATAATCTCATTCGCCGAGTCGAATAACTACCCAACTGTATTTACATGAACACTCAGAAAAATATAGTTGCAGAAGTTATTGAAAAATGACAAATCAGTATAATCAACGCAAATCACAAATACAATAGCATATAATATATGTATGAAACTAGAAAAACATTAAATATTTTATTTTCCATCATAAAAAGAAATATCTTATTCTGTAAATGAAAAACTGGGTATGTACTAATTTAGTATTTACAAGGAGGAAAACTCATAACAGGTAACCCACAATGCTAGGGGAGAAGGGAAGAGTTGGATCAGGAGGGTCACTAAATATACGATTCGAATCCTCTCTTGTTCATTCTCTCATGTTTCGTTCGAACTTCTTCGTACTGCACTAATCTCAGCCATTTGATCATTCTCACATGTTTCGTTCGTACTGCTTCGCTCTCTTTTTTTCTCTTCTAGACCTCTTTTGGAGGCAGAAGACAGAAAGATGATGGTTGGGGAAGGGGAAAAAAGGGACACCTATGGCACAGTTTAGGTAATAGAATAACAGCCCAAGCTATATATTCTACACAGCTAGCTTTACATGAAATAACTCAACGATGTCTTTTTCCTTGATCCACCTTCTCCATAGAGGTCATTCCATTGGAGTAGTTCGTTCATATTTGACGAATCCGATGACACGCTTGCACACACCTGTGTACATACATGCAAACATTACATATTATTCTTTACATGCTACAAAAGGACTTAAAACAACAAAATAAAACGAGCTTACCTGCTCGTGTGCATATTTAAAATCTTCCATCTTTAAGGGACGAATGTCAGCACTGCTACACAGACCGGGTAAAGGTTTGTTCTCAGCCAATGCAAAGCTTCTATCCTGAAAGATTTTCATGTAAAGGTGAGGAAGAGATCACTGGGCCTTGAACTATTATGCAAGCATATCAAAGCGCATGGATTCATATACCAACGCCATGTGTGGGTAATACAACGTGTATGAAACTGAATAATGACGAGAAATCATAGACTTCAACCAAAACAGTTATAACTGAACTAACCTTCTTTTCCTTCTCCAAGATCTCCCTTATCGGACAGTGCGCTGCTGTGACACAAAGATTCTGCAATCAAAATATAACATTTTATTTAGAATCATGTGAAACCTTCTCAAGCAAGCAAGAATGGATGATTAAGATAGATATATTGAAATACAACCTTTAGGTCACTTCCGGAGTATCCTTCTGTCATATTTGCTAATGCTTCTAAATCAACATCAGGCGCCAAATCTTCTTTTGCTAAAATGACTCTCATAATTTTCGCTCTGTTTGTTGCATCAGGCAAATTAACCATCAATCTACAAAAAGAAATTAAGAAGCAAGTCCACGAGTTAGAATAAATCTAATCTATAAAATGTAAAATGCATGAAATTGAAATCAAACATATCGTGTTGTTTACCTTCGCGGAAGCCTCCTAATAACAGCCTCATCAAGATCAAAAGGCCTGTTTGTGGCAGCAAGAACAAGTACACGCTCTCTATCTTTTGTACGCAGACCATCCCAATTTACCATAAACTCATTCTTCATTTTACGCATAGCCTCGTGCTCACCAGGATTTTCACGTCTCCCTAACATACTATCAACCTGGCACAACAATAAAACACAGATAACTGAAACTTATGAACAGATCTTTTAGGAGAGGTAGATGAGAGAAGTGGAAACTCTCGTGTGAGTTCAGCCTAGGCTAATACCCCTTGCAATAGGTACTACTTTTAATGACAAGTTAAACCAACCTCATCAACAAAAATAACGCTTGGAGCAATTTTGCTCGCCAAGGAAAAGACTGCTTTGACATATTTTTCTCCTTCACCAAACCACTGCAACAAACAAAAAATCAGTTGCCTGTCATTATAGTAGTATAAAAGAATACCGACAGTAGGATAGAAGTGTTTCAAGTTACAACATTAATACCTTTGAAGTAATGCTAGACATGGAAATGTTAATAAAATTTGCTCCAGCTTCAGTTGCCACAGCCTTTGCAAGCATTGTTTTTCCAGTGCCAGGAGGGCCAAAAAGTAAGATTCCCTTGCAAGGCTATACATGAGATAATTGCAATGAGTGGTCTATTTAAAATGTACTCCACAAATCATTTGAAGTTAACTAGAATGAAAATATTTTCACCTTAGTTAGTTGTCCTTTGCAAAATAACTCAGGCCTTTGAAGAGGTAGCATAACCAATTCCTTTAAGGTGTCCTTTACATTTTCTAAGGCTCCAATATCATCAAATGAGACCCCAATATCAGTTGGTGGAATAACATCACCAAGCAGTTTTTTCTCAAATTCATTCTCAGTAACTACGTCCTGAATAAACAATTCAATAGACTAGAGTATTAACCCCATGATTCAAACCGTGATATTGAAAAGAATGATACAAGGGTTTATTAACCAAATACTACCTTGAGTGATGTTTTTGTGCTCTTGTTCTCATTTTGAATGCCCTGTAGAATGTTAAACCCATACCAAACGCTAGACAATTGAAAATTAAAAGTGTTAAAATATATAAAAAAATAATTTAAAAAAACTTCAAAAACTTCATTAGAGTTGAAATTATGAAATGATCGAAGATGATGAGAACAGACCTCTCTGCAGATATTACAGGCTTTGATTCTTTGGTAGAAACTTCAGATGAATGCATATAATGATAACTTATAGCCCAACCAATGATCTTCTCCACGTCTAGTAAAAGGAGTCGACAATATGTCATCAGCAATGTGGTATCAAATCTTAAAATATTATATTTAAAAAATAAAAACTCACTTTCAGTTGTTAGAGTTTGATCTTTGATGCAAAGAGTCTCAAGGTCAGAGCAATCCAGTCCAAACTTGTTGAGGACCTGAATCATTAAAAGAATCTCATTAGAAGCTTGACACATGGTAACTGGGGAAAAAATTGTGCAAAGCTAAGTTTTACGGGCTTTGTGCTCTTTGTATTAGTTGAAAAAACATCATCAAGTGGTGGATCACTTCATCATTTGCAGAAAAGGTTTCCGTATATATCTCTAATTGAAGAACTCAAGGGTGTTGGGAAGAGCTTATTTAGTGCTTGTGAATGTTTGAATGAACTTCTAAACATAGGTTATGACATGTCTATAAGTTATTTTGCACTTATATTGTAAACTCCTGGGTATAGTATATAAAAATAGCTTATGGCAAACCAAATGCCGCAATTAAGGCGACACAGCGAAGGTGTTGTAGGCTGCAATGAAGGCAGAAATTCCAGGGGTGAACACGCAATGAAGGCAGAAATTCCAACAAGCAGCAACAAGTGAAAGGATAGAATGATAAAAGACTCTTAAGGAACTAGAAAAAGTATCAGGAGGTATATAGCAAGACTCACTAGGCGAATGCTGGCAACGTTGGACTGAGCTTTCAGAGTTTCTATGTCACGGTCTAGCTGCTGCTTCCAATCAGAAAGTAAAATCTCATCCTATACAAGGTTGCAAGTACAACATTTAATGAACTGTCCGTACACAGAAAATCATAAATTGTGCAGTAAAGTTAATCTAAAATACCTGAGGCAGCTGTATTGTAACCTTGTTTGGGAAAAGCCTATTGAGTTGCTTCATGACTTTGGGGGTTTCTTTGCTCCTATCATGCAGTCTAGTAAAGTTATCCTAAACAAACCAAATAGTAGTGAAGATTGATCATTAATTCGTGAAAGAACCAGAAACAATTCATCTACAATAGTACATATTGATGTTATAACCAATGAAGGTATAAAGAGAGTAATGCCTATGAATATTATACCGGAAAAGCAAGATCAAGTAGTGCTGTCTGATTGCCTCCAAATTTTGTAAATAGAAGGCTGCCAGGTTGTGTCTGGAAGTATAATTATGCAATCATCAGATGGAGCAGCAAAAACTTCCCTCTATTTAAATGCTTCCTAACAAATATAATAAAACAATACCTTCTCCTTACGATTGTCCGGTTGGATATGTGAACCAATAACTACAACATTATGTGGCAAGCTTCCGAATTTACTTTTCAAAACTTCTGAATTCCCAGACACACCCTTCTCGATATCTTTAATCAACAACACCAACGGTCCACTTTTACTCAGATTAGAGGCAATCTATGTTCACAACAACAAAAAGGGTGTTATGTATACTAACTTAGGAATGAATTCATACAACTTTTGGACAAATATAGAACCGGAGCTACCTCAAAGATTTCATTAATAGCAACTTTGCTAGAGTCATCCCCTCCACAACCATCTACCAGTACTAAATGATTGGCTGCAAAACAAATCTTCAAACATTTAACACATGGGAAATTGTAGCATAAAATGTACTAATGTTCAGCAAATGGAACAGTAGATCAATCAATCAAATACTTTGAATTACCAGAACAAAAGAAGCCATGATCATTTTCACAGAGGCCTCCAAGATCATTTCCATCTGGAATTGATTTCTCAAATCTAACCCCAACTTTTGAAGACCGGTTGTTTTCAAAAGCAATGAGAACTCTGCCCTTGCAGCCGTAACTTGGTCCCCTGCTCAATGTAACAGACAGGAAGGTAACCATGATTCCCAACAAGAACTTAAAATAAACAAAAGTAACTGTAGAAAAAACTTTTAATATGCCAACAACACAAAAAACAACTAGCAGTCAAATAAAATATCAAATAAAAGCAAGATTTTTAACCTAAGTAAACCTAGAGCTTAAATCATGCACATTTTCAGATCCAAAAAATTAAATAGTCTAAAAAATTCAAACAGTCACAACAAAACATCTTAGGATTCCGAGCTGAACAAATGAGGGACCTACTATTCATGAAAACTTTCCATATACATTGCAAAGCTATTAGATTGCTAAAATATATTATCATCTCTACAACCAGATCAACCTCTTCTACTCAATAATCCTAAAAATTTAACAAAGTTTAAATTTTCCATTTTAAAACTACCTTGCTGGAAAAACTTGTGGTGGTGAGACAGTAGATGGGAAGTCACCAACAAACTTTACCCGATCACCTGCAAATAATGTAAGCATCATATTATTTAAGGCGTCCGCAGGATGTCATTTAGCATCTATTAAAGAAAAGGATAATACGAAGTAAGTTTTCATCAAAGAGCTAATGTAAGCATCATATTATTTAAGGCGTCCGCAGGATGTCATTTAGCATACATTAAAGAAAAGGATAATTCGAAGTAAGTTTTCATCAAAGAGCTAATGTTTTAGAAACACAATAGCAAACCTGCTTTAAGAGTGCTGCCTTTCGACGATGCCGTAGAAACTTCTTGCTTCAGTATAAACTGTGAACTTACTGCAGATCCACCTATAATTTGGGCATCAGCACAAGAAGCCGGTTTCTTATGTTGTACGGTAGCAGCCTGAGTACTACTTCTCTTAATAAACACAGGTCTTTCAGGCCTCGAACTTTCTTTAGTAGCTTCAACTTCCTTCAATGGTGCCCGCTGAAAAATCAGTTGGGCAATCAATTCAATTGTGTGTAGAATATTGCTGATGTTAACATGAAACAATCCCAACAGAACCAAACAGATCACACAGCCAAATATTAAAGACCATGGTCAAGGAATGAATTATACAAAATTCTTAGACTAGTAAGGGGTAATCCTATAAAATCTCCATAAACATAACAAAAGAAGGATATTTTAGAAAACATACACCAGGAGGTGAAAGAGAGTCCACGATTAGTAGCCACGCATCAAAATGCTTTGCAAGTGCCTTGGACAGATTCTCCTGATATATTTCTGAGCCTAAAAAAGAATCATATAGAATGACGGCGCTTTCTTTTTTTTCGTAACAAGAATGCAGCACTTGTAATTTATGCAAAAAAAGAATACAATAAATCGTATGAAGTTTATAAACAAGAATTACCTGTAGGACCAGATAACAATATCCGTGGGGACAACGATGGAAGGTCAGAAACATATTTTCCAGAGTCATTGCACTTCAAATGAATGTACGCAGAAGCAATCAAAACATTCTTTGTTGTGTCACTGTGATAAAGCAAATCATCATAACCAGTAAAATAAATTATCTTTTATCTATCTCAAGGCAGTAACTACAAACTATGCTACCCAGCATTATAGCAACAAAGAATATCATATCGAGGTAGTTGTAGATTACATCTAACTATGACCACAGAAAAAGTATGAAAAGTTAAGGTAGTATACAAAAGGAAATCAAATCAGAAAAAATTATTAACAAGAAGCAGGTATTTGCGCACCTAAGATAATATGGGAAACTTTCAAATGAAACTTCGATATTCTCAGCATTGAGAATTCTCATCTGTAAACTATCTTTAAGAGCTTGTTGCTTGGGTGATGCCAATATATTTCTGGTGTCAACACTTCTGAGGCATTCCTTCAATTCTTTATTTTTTTCCAATATCTTAGTAATCTTGCCACTTAAATCTAAATCAGAACAGAATAATGGTCTCAATTCGCTGGAAGCAGCAGTCATCTTCCCAACATCTGCATCGACACTGACATTGACTTCTACAGCATCAACCTTAGGATCTTCATTAACGGTGGTTGAGGATGGACAACCAGTTTCCTCAGCATAAAAAACTCCATCCGGTTCGTTATTAACGGTGTTGTGCTTCACATCCACATTTGCCTTATCATCCCCGTTGCCAGCAGGTAGTGATGAAGCATCAGTCTTCTGCTGCGTGTTGTTGCAGGTGTTGGCAGGGGGTGAAATGAGAGATAAATCTTCATTAAAATTAGAAAAAGAGGCCAATATTGAAGCCCCAGCAACAGCCGACAGGTCTCCAGGTCTAGCTTCAATTTGCGTTCTAATTATTGGAGCACCCTGAGCTTCCAAAATGCTCACAGGAGAAGGCATATTGGCAGTAGAGATACTATTAAGGAGCTGCTGAAATATCTAAATTCATGCTAAGGAACCCATTAGAGATATCAATGAAAGAAATTTAAGATTGAGTAGTTTGAAATATAAATACATAGAACATGTGACTAACTGATTTTTTTGGAAAGGTTAACACAGAAACACGGACACAAAAAAACAAGCAAGAAGAAACTGAAAGAATCAAAAGATAAATTCTTGCCAGGGAATCATATCTAAAGGATACATAAGCCTGTTTGCCGGAAAAGCCAAAGATAACTTCATCACCTCCACTCAAAATAAGACGGCATTTCTTCCCATATATCTTCCCATTAACTTTCACTTCACCTTTACTCCCTATGACTTCCAGCAATGCCACAGACGAACCTCCATGCTGTGCAGAATTACAAATAACAACCGTGGTTAGTAATCTAAAAAACATAGAAAAGGTTAACAGTAATTTTCTTATGATGGGGAAAGTTTAGGAGCATCTACCATAAAAGAATTAAAATTCATTTCAATGATATCTTTCACAAAACACCTATAGTAGCTCGGAATTTTGTTTGATAAATTACTTAGTTGTCATAACAATATTGTAAAGATCTTGTCTCTTCAGTTGGTTGTTTTAAGTTTTAAAAAGATAAAGGAGGAAAGTCTACCTCTATATGGCTCAATTTGCACAAAACACTACTAACATTGGGATCTTTAAGCCATAAATTACATTGACGACATTGACCAACAGTGTAGACAGGTTCGCACATGGGCAAGTGAGGATTCTGCAAAAGCATGAACAATAAAAAGATTAATTCAAAACTTATAACAGCAAAATCTGAAAAGTGGAAGATTAAATGAAAAGATTGAACCTTAAATTAGCTTTAAACTCTACCCTTTTAATGCTCATAATAAATTGATGATTCTTCAAATTAAATGCAAATTTTTACTATCACAAGTCATGTCAAATATCAATGTTACTTAAATGAAAATAAACAGAACTCCATACACATCACTAATTATTTAATAAAGATAAGAAAAAATTAGAATAGTGGCCATTCTGCTGCATACCATACCACAGTCTCAATTTTGGGGTCGGTGATCTATGTCGCTATCCGAGATTAGCAATGTATTCCCTTTAAATAAAATATTGTATTCAAGTCTTGTGAAAAGAACAAAAATAGAGGTTGGGAGAGCTTTTCCATCTTAAATGGGTCCACCGGCAAGTATCACTAAATCATCAACATATAGATGATAACACATCCTATACTCTAGTGATTAATTTCTGCGTGTCACATAGTACAAACCATGTTTCTACTTTATTATGTTCTGAACTAGTATTAATCAGTTCCCGCCACATTTCTTCTGCTATAACAATTTTATTTCTGATCTACATATTATGACCTTAAACACTAAAATGAAATAGAGTAAATAACAAATCATTTCTTGTTTGGATCTCACTAGTTTCTGAAACCCAAGATGAAGACAAATATGGCAGTGAGGCGTGCATTATTAAAACAGACTCGGCCTTTTGGCAGACGATAAGTGACTCCTCATCTCCCTTGTAGTCACACTCTCAAAGAGAGTCAAATGAAACTTACTCAAAAGTTACAAATCATACCATGAAGTTATGAAAAAGAGTGATTGAACGGAGACTAAGAAAAGAGACTCAAGTCACCAAGAATCAATTTGATTTTAAGCATGAAAGGTGAATCATAAAAGCAATCTATCTACTACAACGTGTGATGGAGCAGTATCATATGGACCAACAAGACTTGCACCTAATTTTTATTGACTTCGAGAAGACGTATGATAGAGTGACCAAGAGAAAACCCAAAGAAGAAAAGGGTTAGGATTGAATATATCCGAGCTATCCAAAATAAGGCATGTATCCAAGCTATCCAAAATAAGTATGAAAGAGCATCGACTGGTATGCGGACACAAGGTGGAGAGATAGACAATTTATCCATTACAATAGATTTGCATCAAGGTTCAAACCTAAGCCCCTACTTTTTTTGCTTAATTTAGGATGTACTCACGAAACAATCCAAGAGCTAGCACCAAGATGCATGTCTTTTTACCGTTGATATAGTCCTACTTGGAGAGTCGGTGGAGAATTTAAATGAGACATTGGAGACTTAGAGACGAGATTTAGGAACGCGTGAGTTTCGCCTAAGCAGAAGTAGGACGGGGTATATGGAATTGGAATGTAAGTTCAACAAAAGAAGTGTCTCTAACCTAGAGGTGGAAGTTGAAAACCATATCAACTCTCAAGTCATACGCTATCTGGGATCCGTAATATAAAATGATGGAGAAATAAAAGAGGGTGTAAACCATCAAATTCATGATGGGTGGTTGAAATGGAGAAAGGTTTCAGGGATTTTATGTGACGCAAAGGTACCGCTCAAATTGAAGAGAAAACTTTATCGGACGGCAGTAATACTTGTGATGTTGTAAGGGACAAATGTTGGACGATTAAGAATCAGCACGAGAATAAAGTGTTGCAGATATGAAGACATTTCATTGGATTTATGGTAAAGACTAAGCATGATAGGATTATAAATGAAAATATTAGTGTGTTGGAATGACACTTGTAGCAGAGAAGATGGTAATAAATAGACTTAGGTGGTTTAGATATATAGAGAAAAGACCTAAATAAAGAAAAGACCTATAAATAGACTTAGGTGGTTTGGATATATAGAGAAAAGACCTAAATAAAGAAAAGACCTGTAAATTCCGTGGTAAGAAGAATAGATCAGATGGAAAAAAGTCAAAACAACTAGAGAAAGAAAAAGACTTAAAAGAGATGTATTAAAAAAATCTTGAGATTAACAATTTGGATAGAAACATGATCCTAGATAGATCATTAGATCATTATGACTAAAGTTGATTCATTTAGCCGGCTCCACTTAGTGGGATAAGACTTTGTTGTTGTTGTACCATGTTGCGGCTCAATGGAGACATATAGAAGAGAAGAAGGCTGAAAAGTTGCAGAGACTAAGAGACCAAAAAGGGAGAAGAAAGAAGATGATGTTCATCATTTGGACCAAGAAAAATTCTATTGTAAGAGGCAGGTTGGTTTGGAACTGAAATTGAAAAGCATTCTTGCACTTTTTTGACTAAATTTGAAAATTTAGTTGGAAATTTCAGTGAGAACCAATTCAAATTCAGCATAGGGTCAAAATCACATGGCATTGCAAACATCATAAAATTGAACCATCTTAAAGAGTAAATCAGCAATTTTAACTGCCTCCTTGTTGTTGGCATCATTGCCAAGGTCCTACAAGACTATTGCACAAGCATTGCATATCGAGAAGACTATTCTAATTATAGACAAGATGACCACGACTTTATGAGAAAATGAAGAAAAAAAATATAAAAAAACTTAGAATCGTAGTGACAAAGATTGGTTAGAGATGAACCCAGAAAATGAAGAAGTGGGCTGAAAGAAAAATCACTATCAAAATCATGAGTGTTGTGAAGTGTCCCTATAGTGACAAGGGCCGCATCAAGCAATGTGTAGACAAATGAGGACACACTTTCCCTATTTCCTATTACATATTAGTTGGTTTCTATCAACCGGTATCAAACCAAAGCAATTTTGATCCAGCAAGATCCGCTGGGTGTACTAAAAGTTTTGGCATGAAAATGGCTGCAGATTTGATTTCAAGATTTAATGGAAGGGATGCTTATCGGTGGCTGATCCAGGCATAGGAATATTTTGGTTTAAGAAGAATGAGTGAAGAGATGAAGCTTTCATGATTTGTTGCATTTGTATTGAGAGGAGATGCTCTTGAGTGGTGAATTTCTTAGAAAAAAAGCAGCCCAAATACTTGTTGGTTTTCAAAGGCCATTCCCAACCAACCATAAAAAGTTTGGAAATGTCTTCATAGTTGAGAAAAGGAAGAACAAGAAAACAGAGGCAGAAGCGGTGAAATTCAAGAAGAGATGCAAGAAATAGTAGCATCTCAAAATGAAACAAAAATGATACGCGAAGATGAAGATGAAATGACACTGATGAGTATACACAACGAAAAACAAGGTCAGGGTCTGAAAATAAAACAAGAAAAAGGAAACCAATAAATACGAAAAACACGGAATGCAATGTGCGAAGATGAATGCAAGTATAGCAACAGAAGGATCATGATGAAGGAAAATCTTGAACTCAAAAGCTCTCAATAGTGGGATCCAAGGAGTTGCAATTCACCACCATACCAACCAAGTATGTTTTGTTGGAGAGCATGCAATGCATCTTGTCTCCTAATGCAAAGAAAACAACATGCAAAGTGCAAACAAAAACTGAACCAAGAGAGTAAGATGTAAACCTCAGAAGATTGAGAAATGAGCCTCCCCCAAGCAGCCTTAGGACTCGATTTTAAGCAACTTTTCTTCGACCGAGCTAACGGCGGCAACACCTTGGATTTCAAGGTAATCCCACCTGATTCTGCCACAAAATCCATAAATCTCACCAATAAAAAACCGCATGCAACAAACAATCCATAAAAGAAACAATAAAAAAAAGTCTATAACTTTGATACCTAGACACTGAGGAGAAGACACCAAAACAGAAGTAGACTTGTGATTCTCAGTCTCCCCATCAACATCCTTCAACGACGCCGTTTCTTGCAGATCAGATAACCGTATCTTCTGTTCACCAGATTCGTTGACCACTGGTGAGGGATTGACGGTAGATGGAACATCCTCAGAGACCTGTTTCATGACAGAGAAATTACAGAGTTAAGAACAAACAAATTTCAAAACCCTTAGTTTGGTTTGCATAAGAATAATAAAGAACCTTGGATCGTTTGGTGTTTGAAGGAGGAGAAGAAGAGGAAGGAGAAGAAAGAGAACGTTTGGAAGAAGAAGAACTGCGTCTGGTTTCAACCATGATGAAGAAGAGAGAGAGAGAGATTGAGATGAGAAATGTGTTGAAACCAGACTAAGATTGATGACAGTTATTAATGTTAAGGTCTGTGTTGCGGTTGCGGTGTTGTGTGTCGCTGCTTTATTTATACTAGCAGCATATAATATTTAAAAAATTAAATTAAAAAATAAAAAGTAATAGTACTAACATTTTTTATAAAAATAATAAAAAGAAAAAAGAAACAAGTAAATAGAAAAAAATAATAATAATAGTTGCAAGTAGTTTAGTACTAAGTACAACAAGTTGTAACAAGTGGTTTTGGTCGTCCCAGGTAGAGAGAATGTGCAATGTGTTGTGTGTTAAAGTGAAAGAAATGCATGCAGCCAACCAGAGAGTGGTGAGAGCAAGTTGTTGCTTAGTCTATAGTCAACCGACTTCAAATTAATATACTACTATTACTTTAGCTAAATTGCAACTTGCAACTAAATTAAATTGATTTTTTTTTATGTTTATCTTTTTTAAATAGAATATATCATTTATTTTGAAAAATGAAACGAACCATAATTTGCAATCCTTAAATGCATGTTGATTTATCTAAACTAGATCCAGACATATGAGATGCACATGTGTATTTTAAAACGTCATATATAAAATTCATATTGGTATAATAATATAAATTCTGATGAATGTAAAAATAATTGTGCGGAATGCAATAACACATAAATAAATAAAAAAATTTAAAATATTATAGGAATAAATGATTTACTAATTAAGAATATTTTTGAACACTTGTTTGCAAACCACATTTTTAGTTACATTTGAATACTCATTTTTATCATCAGATATTAGTATTTTTAAATTTATCCTTAAAGAAATTTTAGATAGTGCAAAATATAGTTGTTCATGAGAAAAAATTGATTGGGTCTAATACATTCCAACATGTTTGAGTGACTGATATTGACTCTTGTTGATAGTCATAGCGAATGAAAGAGTCAATGAAAATTGTCGATGACGAAATTTGAAAGGAAATATTTTACCTGAAGGAGTTTGTTGTAACACCCAAAGATAATTAGAATATTTATTTAATTTACTTATTACAAATATTTGTGATTTTCCGTAAATTTTGGTGAAATATTTTGATTATGATGATTTGTGTTGTGGAGTATTGAAGATTTTAAGAGGGTATTGAGGATATTCAGAAGTGTATGATTTACTATAATTATTTTGATAATAATAATAGTGGAATAATGTGAACAATGTTATTTATATTATTATTATTATTATTATTTTAAATAATAAAAGGGGAACACTTAGGGTAAGATGGTAATGTTGGGTGGAATAAGTGAGGACGAAATTGGGAAATCATAATAGGGCTCCAAAGGGTAAGAATGACAAAAGGAAAAAAGAGAGAGTGGAGAAGTTTATTTGACACGATCTTGTTTTTGGAAGAGCACTCTGAAGAAAGAAAGAGGAAGAGGTTAGAGCTCAGAGAGTACTCTGAAGAACTCAAGGAGAAAGTCGAAATCGAATTATCCAAGGTATGGGGAGTATCGTTTGTCATTATAATTGATATAAGGGTAGATGTATGTAGGTAGTTGGAGATTTTGGGGAACATGATGAGATTAAGATGAAATTGTTATTTGATTGTGTGATAAATGATGTTTTCTAACTGATATGTGATGAGTTTTGTACATGTATGTGTGTAGAAATTTTGTTTTGGAAACTGTTGAAAATTCCTCCATTGTTGAGTTTTGGAGTTTCGAGTCGGAGGAATGAAATTATGATGAATTGTTGTTAATTCATGAGTAAAACATAGCATAATCAATGCTTAGGACGTTATTTTGATATAAAATCGGGTCTATGGTGATAGGGGTTAGTGGTATAGGGGTCTAGGGTGAAATTCTGGGGTGAAAGTGCTTTTAAAAAAAGTGACTTTTGGGGTTCGAAATAGTATGTGTCGACTCATATGTACCCCTGGGTCGACTCATGGCCACCCGAATGCAAAATTATGGAAATTTTAACAGTATGCGTCGAATCATAGCTCTGCGCGTCGAATCATAGCTATGTGTGTCGACCTTTGAGTTGACTCATAGGTAGAAAAATGCCAGAAACGGTTTCGATCATAACTTGTTAACCGTTAATCCAAATGACGAACTGTTCGAAGCTTGGAAAGCTAATAAGTAAAACTTTAACATGGTATAATTATATGAATCATTTTCCTAATATTTTTATTTCTAATATCTTGAAGAATATGATTGTTGCTTGTTATGTACCTTAAGAAGTCGTGGTGTAAGTGATGAACCTTGAATGTTGTTTGTATGCCTTGGGTAATTGATATGTTGTATTTCGATGACTATAACATGATGATTTTGTGGAGTAATGTGAAAAATTATGATGCATAATGATGATGTAATATTGTGATGTTTTGATGAATTTTCATGAATGGTGATGCAACTTTGACGATGATATGATGATGATTGTTATGACGTTTTGCATCATGCATTCATAGCATACTTTAGGACTTCGTTCCATTGATAATGTTATGACTTCGGTCCAGTGATGATGTTAGGACTTCGGTCCAGTGGTGGCTTCAATCTCATTGTGTGGATTGAGGTGTTTATGACGTGCTCCGGTTCTTGTGTAGAATCAATCCTATTGGTGGAGATCTTTGGAGAGTGATGGCCCAGTGTCCATCAACATGATGAGTCTGGTACCACATGCGTGAGTCTATGTTGTTACATTTCATACTATGTGGTATTGCATGGTTGGGTGTTAAAATGATGTTTGATGATGTTGTAACTTAAGTGATGTTTTAGTGATGCATGTTGATTTGATGATTTTATGACGGAGATGTATATATGTTATTATGATAGGAAGGTGTGAGTATAATACTTGGTAAATGATTATGTATGGGTTTCTGAGTGATGTAAATGATGTTAATGATGATGTAATTTCTAAGTGATGTGTGAGGATGATGATTATTTGGTTTGACGATACTATGACAGTGTATATGAATTATTGATGGTGTTGTACTAATATATCTATTATAATTATTTGTGATTACTCACCCTGCCTGCTTGGAATTGTTGCCTCTATATGGGTAACATGCGGGTTATCAGGATTAGCTCTCTTAATGCATGAAGATTTAGTTTTGAAGTCTTCTGGTTATTTTTGTTGATTAGAGGGTCTTGCACTAATATGTAACATCGGGTCGGGACGTTTGAGTCGAACCATTATGTTCTTTTTCTTGTTGACACCCTGACGCTATGAGTTCTTGTTTTTAAGACGATTTGAGTTATGAACTATGTTATGATTTGTGATTTTTCCGCTGCATAGTATTTGATTGAATTTATGATGATCGATCCCGTGTTACGAAGTAAGACACTATTATGAAGTTTTATGTTTAAATGTGGCACCCATGGGGTGATGTACTCTGATATAATTGTTTTAATTATTGCGAATATCCTTTGGGGTATAAAGGTGTTACATTAGTAGTATCAGAGCAGGCCGGTCCATTCGGCCAGGTTGTTTAACTATGTTGTTCCCTAGTATGCGACATGTGTGTGAAAACACTGTCGATGCTTGTTTTGTTTTCCATTTGCAGGTTGGAAATGAAACAAGTGGGGGAGAAGCTTGTGTTTCTCCAAGATGCTTCAAGTGTGGAGTGATTGTTAAATGTGTCATTGGACGCTATTATAGTTTGGTAAAGATGGTTTGTGCCCCATCATGATTGTCGGCTGTTTATTGACAAATTAAGGAACTGATCATCCTTAATCTTTTCTTTATAATAGACAGGATCATGTTGGATGGAATGGACGCCTCTTGCCAGCTTAAATGGTGTGAGCAGTGAATTGTTGGAGCTAAGCCAAGTGCTTATAGATGGTTATGATGAGTCAATGTAGATTATTATATCTAGAGATGAGGCAGAATTAAGTTTCTTATTCGTCGGTCAAGTTAGGATGTCTCCGAGGGAGAACGATCAGGTATCGTTGATGGTTGTTTTTCAGAGAGTGGATAGCAAGGTGACGGCTAGAGATATGCCAATGGTGTGTAAATCCTGATGTTTTTTTAAGAGAATTGTAACTTGCCTGTAGAGTGTGGATCTGGGTTTGGTGATTGTAAGGAGCTGACGTTGTTGGCTTCTAAGCAAGTGAATGAACTTCTAGAAGACGAGGCCTTGATGTTGGTAATGTTTGCATAGTTGCAAGTTTATTGTGAAGTTGCAAGTGTCGAATTACATGTGGTTCGTGAATTTTCAGAGGTGTTCCCGGATGACATCAATGATTTTCCTCCAAAATATGAAGTAGAGTTTGTAGGGGACTTGATATCAGGTACGAGTCTGGTGTCTATGGCTTCTTATTGGATGTTCGCTTCTGAGTTAAGTGAATTAAAGAAGCAATTGGAAGAATTTCTTAAGAAGAAGTTTGTTCAACCGAGTGTTTCTCCATGGGGTGCTCCTGTGTTGTTAGTTAAGAAGAAAGATGGTTGTATGAGGTTGTGAGTTGATTATCGGCAGTTAAATAAAGTGATTATCAAGAATAAATATCCACTTCATAGAATTGACGATTTGATGGATCAGTTAGTATGCGTTTATGTGTTCAGCAAGGTTGACTTGAGGTCGGTTTATCATCAGATTCGTGTTAAACCTGATAATATTCTGAAGACAACTTTCAGGACGAGGTATGGTCACTATGAATACACTGTGATTCCATTTGATGAATCCAATGCACCAGGTGTGTTCATGAAGTATATGAATCAGATTTTTCCATGAATATTTGGATAAGTTTGTTGTGGTTTTTATTGATAATATTTTAATATACTCTAAATCTGAAGAAGAGCATGCTGAGCATTTGAGAATTGTGTTGCAAGTGTTAAAAGATAAGAAGTTGTATGCGAAACTATCAAAGTGTGAATTCTAGTAGAAGGAAGTGAGTTTCCTTGGTCATGTGATATCTAGTGGTGGAATTATTATTGATCCTTTTAAGATTAATGTTGTGTTGCAGTGGGAGACTCCAAAGTCTGCT